CAGGGCCTCACCCCTCACAGGAACTGGAATTTCCCCCAGTATCCCATCCATCCCTGCCCTCTGGCACTGGGAAGCCATTCCCCCTGTCCTGTCACTCCTCGTCCAAAGTCCCTCTCTTGGAGTCTCTTTAGATCCTGGAAGGGGCTTCTCTTCTCTTGCTGGGCACATGTCCTCCCTCAGCCTAAATCCCAGCAAAACCTGGAGAGAGTCCCCTGGAGCTGCTGAGCTCGGAGTCCTTCCCTGTTTGACTTTCACACAAACCTCATAACCTGGTTTGTGCAAACTCCCTGTCATTTCCAGCTTCCTGACCTACACCTAAAATTATTTCTCCTGATGGGAATACCCAAATGAGGTTTCAATGACAAAAGTTTATACAGCCCCACAGGTTATTTGGCACAGTGGTATTTAATGTTTAAAACATTCCCATGGGAGCAGGGGGTGGTGAAGGCAGAGGCTGAGCTCAGACCCCACTGCTCACCCACTGTCACCTGGGTCAGGCACAGCCTTTCAGGACAAACACCCAGCCCCAGCACTGCTATTTAAGCTGAATTACAGCCAGTTTTGTCTCAGCCTGATGCACAAATCCAATTGCTCACAGTGCTAATATGATTTGATAAATACTTTGAACCAACATAACTTCATTGCTGAGCTGCTGATTCAATCCAGGTCCCAAACCCATCATGACCTTGATTTCATGGCCTGATCACAACCAGCCCTTAATGAAATTACAGCACTTGAGCTTCCTTGGCAATTGTTTAATCTTAATATTGTTTTCATTCTTCTTCATCAGAGATGTGAAGTGAATGGAGTTGGTTTGTTCTCCCGGTTTTCAACACGGGTCAAGCCCCATCTCAGTCACTCCACGAGGAAGATGAGGCACGTGAAACTCTCAGCCCTCACTCCCTGTGTGGAACAGCAGCTTGGTGTGTCCTTTTATTCACAAGGAATAAAAGCCTGGCTGAATGTGACACTCAGCAGCAAGAACCCCCAACCACAGCACTGCCCCTGCCCAGGACAGGGCCTGGCAGCTGGGACACCACTCCTGCAGCTGCTTCAGAGCTGCTAAATGAGTCTGGGCTGCAGCCAGAGGTGTTTTCACTCCTCAGCCACTGCACACTGCAGCACTCATCCTCGTTGGGAAAACTCCCCAAACCCAGCAGGAGACAGGGGCCAGCTGGTGTGGGACCTGCAGAGCAGCCTGGACCAGCTCTCTCCATGCACGAGGGGCTGGGGCAGCTCAGGAGCAGCCTCCTGCAAGAGTCTGTGAGCACCACACCCCCTCCACCCCTGCTCCACAGCCACTGCTGTGTGCACTCCCTGCTGGACTGCAGCATTTATTTCTGCTGTATAAAGGGGAACAGCTGAAGGAAACAGGTGAGACGTCTGGGCTGCTGCACTGGGCTCTCTGATTGATTCAGCAGTGTGGGAACGCAGCCAAGGGCTGTCCTCTGCCAAAAGCAGGGCCTGGGTGGCCCCAAAGCTGCTCTCATTACATAAACCCCGAGGTCCCTGCAGGACAGTCCTGCTGCTGCCACCACGTGCCTCAGCCACCCATCTCACTGGCAGGTGATGACAAGATGTGGTCACTCCACAAGTGGTGAAGAGGCAGAAAGGAGCAGTTCTGCTTCCTGGAGCATTAAATATGAAGGAAGATGATGACAGAGCATCAGACTCCTGGCTGGCAGCTGCTCCAGCAGCTTCACAGGCACCAGCCTTCAGAAGAGCAAGATGTTACTGCTGCCTCCAAGGAGGTGACACTTCCACCAACAGCAGCTTCTCCCACGAGGAGAGAAGGAAGCAGCCCCAGTCCATTAGGAGACTCCAGGCAGCCCTGGCTGATGGGTCTGTGGTCCCCAGGCACCAGCCTGGCGCAGCCATCAGCATCCCAAAACCATCCCCAGGTGCTGGAGCAGCTCTGAGGAGACCATCAGAGGCTTGGCAAGTGGCCAAACAGAGGTGGCTTTGGGCCAGCTCAACAAAGCAGGCTGCCTGTGGCTCTGCTTAAACAAGGCTGAGAAAGCGAAGTTCCACACAGCTCTGTAGCTGCCCCTGATCCACTCAAACCTGGTTTCACCTCCCCAAAGTCCAGCTCCAACTCCCCAAAGCCCAGCTCCAACTCACCAAAGCCCAGCTCCAACTCCCCAAAGCCCAGCTCCAGCTCCTCAAAGCCTCAAACAAGGCTCTCTCCTCAGGCCAGCACCAACACCCCCACAGTTCCAGGCTGGACCCCACTTATTGCAGTCCCCCCTCTCTCCAATGCCCAGGCAGAGGTGAAACAGTGTTGAGGGGTTTAACCCAAAACCTCATTTTCTGCTGAGGAAACACCAGCTCTGCAGTCAGCAGAGACGAGAGGGGAAGTGCCCTCTTGGCTGTGCTCAGCAGTTTTAGCTTTGTGTGTAGATCTAAGGCAAAGCAAACCCCCACTGAGTGCAGCAGAGCAGCCACAGAATCACAGCACACTCTGAGCTGGAAGGGTCTCATAGCTCTGTAAGCTCAAAAGCCATCATAAAGCTTTTTTGGAGATAAGCACTTCCTAAATACTTACTGCTGAAAGATTAAAGGCAATGAGCTCTGATCCTGTTTCCCTGCCCCGAGAGCTGTGCTAACAGGAGTGCCCCATCCCTGAACATCTCAGCAGGAGGCTCAGCCACCCCCCATCCCAGCTGGGATGGTTTCCCTCCTCCTCTTCCTCCTCCTGTGGGATGGGGATCCCTGCCCCAGGCTCCTCTGGCAGCAGCTGTCAGTCACAGGGGGGTGACAGAGGTGTGGTCCCCTGTCCCCCCACGCTGGGCTCAGGGCTGACAGGGCTTTTCCAGCTCAGCAGGAATTGCAAAGCTGGGACTTGTGGAGACACCAGGCTCAGAAGTGGTCTGAGCTGCTCTGGAGAACAGCAGAGCCTCCACCACAGTGGGCTGGACATGGAGGAGCGTGCTGGCACCTCCCAGCCCAGCTCCAGCACCTCCCTGACCAGCTCCAGCACCTCCCTGCCCGGCTCCAGCACCTCCCTGACCAGCTCCAGCTCCTGTCAGTGCTCCTGCACCTCCCTGACCAGCTCCAGCACCTCCCTGCCCGGCTCCAGCACCTCCCTGCCCGGCTCTGGCTGTGCCACCCTGGCACCCTCCAGAGCTCAGGCTGCACAGGGACCCACAGGCTGAGCACAGCAGATGATGGTGCCTGCACTCTTCTCCCTCAGTGCTAGCTCTGGTTCACAGCAGCATTTCCCAAACTCCAGTGCCATTAAGGGTGTCACCTCCCCAGCACAAACCTCACTGTAACTCTGCTGGGGACTAAATGCCACCAAATTCACCCCCACAAGCAAAGTGCCACCAGTGTCCACGTGTCCTTCAGCAGACACAGATCCCTGACATGCGAAAAGACAGACCCTGGTCCCAACATAGCACACACAGCCCTGCCTTGGAGACAGCACCAAATAATGCCTGGCTGCAGGAATTCACCTTCCCCTGTCCAAGCACCCTGGTGCCACCATGGCTCTGTGGCTGCAGCTCCTGCAGCAGCTCTCACTGCCAGCCAGGGCACGCTGGGGCATCAGCAACCCCTGAATATCCCTTGGATGGGGCCAAGCTCACAGTGCAGAGGGCACGGGGGGTACAGCAGAGGGCACAAACCCCTGCTGGGGATCCCCAGCACAGCCCCCCCAGTGCCACAGCCCCTGGGCACTGCCAGGACGTGCCCTGGGTGCCCCTCAGTGAGACCCAAGCCTGCTTCCCCCTCAGTGGGGAGCTGTGCCTCCCCCTTGCCCACCCCCATCACACATCACACCGCTCTGATTCACCGCAGCCGCCCCCGCTGGGGGGGCACAGCACAGCACAGAAAATACACCAGAAAACAGCAGAAAACACCCTCCCAGGCACCAGGGAGCAGGCACAGCAGGAATCCATGCTCCTGGGGGCCATTCCTGAAGTTACAGCAGCAGGAGAGGTGCCTGGAGCAGGGGCAGGCAGCTCCAGCTCTGCACTGTGCCCGTGGAACAGCCCGTGCCAGCGCTGGCTGCCACCCCCTGCCACCCACAGCTCCCCAGCAAACCCTTCCCCAGGGCCTTGCCACAGCCCCCCACCCCCACGGGTGTCCCCCCCTGTCCCCAGCCCTGCCTGCAGCTCCTTGTCCCCGTGTCCCCCTGTGTCCCCAGCCCTGCCTGCAGCTCCTTGTCCCCTGTGTCCCCCCCTGTCCCCAGCCCTACCTGCAGCTCCTTGTCCGAGTACTTCTGTGGGTTCTTGCTGCCCTGGCTCTTCTTGCGGAGTTTCTTCAGCTCTGCCTGGCACTTGTCCAGGGAGTCCCCCTTGCTCCTCTGCTCTGTCTGGTATTTCTTCAGCGCAGCCTGGGTGCCACAGGAGAAAGCTCTGAGCCTTGGCTGCATCTCCTGCTGCCAAGGGGTGACAGAACCAGAGTTCCTGGGACAGGGGGACTCCCAAAGCCCAGAGGGGACAATGTCCTGTGCCTGGTGACATGAGTGACAGCCATGTGTAACCAGGGCGGGAGCTGTGGCTTGGACAATGTCCTGTGCCTGGTGACATGAGTGACAGCCATGTGTAACCAGGGCGGGAGCTGTGGCTTGGACAATGTCCTGTGCCTGGTGACATGAGTGACAGCCATGTGTAACCAGGGCGGGAGCTGTGGCTTGGACAATGTCCTGTGCCTGGTGACATGAGTGACAGCCATGTGTAACCAGGGCGGGAGCTGTGGCTTGGACAATGTCCTGTGCCTGGTGACATGAGTGACAGCCATGTGTAACCAGGGCGGGAGCTGTGGCTTGGACAATGTCCTGTGCCTGGTGACATGAGTGACAGCCATGTGTAACCAGGGCGGGAGCTGTGGCTTGGACAATGTCCTGTGCCCCAGGGCCTTGCCACAGCCCCCCACCCCCACGGGTGTCCCCCTGTGTCTCCAGCCCTACCTGCAGCTCCTTGTCCCCGTGTCCCCCCCGTCCCCAGCCCTGCCTGCAGCTCCTTGTCCCCTGTGTCCCCCCCTGTCCCCAGCCCTACCTGCAGCTCCTTGTCCGAGTACTTCTGTGGGTTCTTGCTGCCCTGGCTCTTCTTGCGGAGTTTCTTCAGCTCTGCCTGGCACTTGTCCAGGGAGTCCCCCTTGCTCCTCTGCTCTGTCTGGTATTTCTTCAGCGCAGCCTGGGTGCCACAGGAGAAAGCTCTGAGCCTTGGCTGCATCTCCTGCTGCCAAGGGGTGACAGAACCAGAGTCTCTGGGACAGGGGGACTCCCAAAGCCCAGAGGGGACAATGTCCTGTGCCTGGTGACATGAGTGACACCCAGGGCAGGAGCTGTGGCTCGGTGTGATGTCCCCCAGCAGGCAGCAGGTGACAGGGCAGCCCCAGGGCTGTGCCAGACTCACACACACACATAACTCACACTCAGGTAGCGGGAGTCCAGCTCCACCTTCTGCTCCAGCTGCGTCAGGAGCTCGTTGTGGAAGGACTTGAGCTGCAGGGAGAAAGGAAACACACAGTGCTTGGGGAGGGCTGGCCTGGGGGACAGGGGGACTCCCAAAGCCCAGAGGGGACAATGTCCTGTGCCTGGTGACATGAGTGACAGCCATGTGTAACCAGGGCGGGAGCTGTGGCTCGGTGTGATGTCCCCCAGCAGGCAGCAGGTGACAGGGCAGCCCCAGGGCTGTGCCAGACTCACACACACACATAACTCACACTCAGGTAGCGGGAGTCCAGCTCCACCTTCTGCTCCAGCTGCGTCAGGAGCTCGTTGTGGAAGGACTTGAGCTGCAGGGAGAAAGGAAACACACAGTGCTTGGGGAGGGCTGGCCTGGGGGGCAGTGGGTGGCACTGCAGAGGGGCTGAGGGACAGGCTCAGACAGGGCCCAGCAGGGCTGAGAGGATGCCCAAGCAATGCAGACCCTTTGGAGCTCAGCAAATCCATGGCAAGGGGCTGGTGGCACCTGGACACGGCATGGAAAAGCATTTCCCACTGCCAGGCATGCCAGGCTGGGCACTCACCATCTCCTCCAGCTGGTTCTGGATCTGCCTGTGCACCTCTGCCATCTGGAAGAGCACGTCCCCTGCAGAGACAGGACAGGCAGGGCTTGAGGCACCGAGCTCAGGGGACACCCCAGGGCTGGGGCAGCAGCACCCTGCTGCAAGGAGGGGTCCCCAGCCAGACCTGGGGGCTCCTGGAGTGCCCTGTGCCCACCCTGGGGGGCTGCAGAGAGCCAGTGCTCACCTGGGACAAACAGATCAACCTTGGGAGGCAGGGGGGAACCAGGAGCAGCAGCAGGACCCCAACCCCAGGGGCAGCCCTTGCCCCCCTGGCCAGCACAGGGACAGGCACAGCCCTGGCACTCAGAGCAGGGCACAGGACACAGGGCTAAGCCCTGGGATCCCCACTGCAGGCACGGAATGGCAGCTGTGTTCTGCCACTTCCTTTGATTCTTCCTGTCCCAGGGCTGCAGCCCCACGCCCAGGGCTGCTCCTGCCTCAGCAGCCCCACACACAGCAGCATCTTTCAGGAACAGAGCCAGCTTGAGAGCCCTGTCTGTGGATCACAGCGAGCTCGGGGACAGCCCAGCTCTGTCAGCTCTTCTCAGGGCTCACTCTGGAAGCTTTTCCTTCCAGCATGGCAGGTTGCAGCTTCCCAAGAGGCTCCCAGCCTCTGTGGAGCTGTTTGTACATGAAAGGCAGCATGTCACTGGGGAAAGGGAACGAGTGGGAACCTGCCCCAGCCTGTCCCCCCATGTCCCCCCACATCCCTGGGCATGAGGGGGTCACCACCCCCAGCAGACCAGGACTAATCTGCCTCAACATTGCTGTGCTCTCCTGCCTGGAGCAGTCTGTACTTTGCACCACACTCTGCGTGTCCCAAACCCTTCTGCAAACATTAAAATCCCATCCTGGGCAGGCACTGACCCCGCAGACCTGGCTGTGGCAGGGCCAGGGTCCCCTGTGTCCCCTGAGCGAGCAGCACTGCCCAGGGTGTCCCACAGAGGACACAAAGCTGCAGCTCTGCTCCCTGCCCAGGGTGTCCCACACAGGGACACAGAGCTGCAGCTCTGCCCCTGCCCAGGGTGTCCCACAGAGGGACACAGAGCTGCAGCTCTGCTCCCTGCCAGGGTGTCCCACAGAGGACACAAACTGCAGCTCTGCTCCCTGCCCCCGGTGTCCCACACAGGGACACAAAGCTGCAGCTCTGCTCCCTGCCCAGGTTCCACCGAGTGATTTTCCAGCTGGTTCTGCAGGGGCTGAGGTGGGCAGAGCCTCAGACCCCAGCACCACACAGGTCTGCAGGGTCCCACGGGAGCAGCAGGGCCAGGCCAGGGTCAGCACTGCAGGAGCAGCAGGAAATCCCTCCTGTTGGGCTGCACAGCTCCGTGGTGGGGAGTGCCGAGCTCCCCCTGCAAGGAGCCACGCCGAGGTGCCTCTGTCAGGGTGCAAGGGTGGCTCTCACTGTTCCCAAAGCTTCACCAGCCCCTGTCCCTCTCCCTTCCCGTTTGGCTGGGGTGGAAATCCCAGGGGATCAGTGCAAGGCTGGCTCTCACTGCTCCCAAAGCTTGCACCAGCCCCTGTCCCTCTCCCTTCCCGTTTGGCTGGGGTGGAAATCCCAGGAGTGCTGGTGGGGGGCTCTGGCCACCACCACAAAGCTGCTGACCCACCCGAGAGCAGGGCAGGGGCACAAATGACATCCATGTCCCCAAATGCAGCCCTGCTTTGGGGACAGAGGGTTCTGTCCCCCTCCCACATTCCTCTGCAGGGGACTGGCCCGTTCCCAGCAGCTGGGGTGGCTCGTGGAGCTCTCTCAGCACTGATATCCATCTCTGGGCTCAGCTTTCCCCTGCTCCAGCACCACCCCTGGGCTCCTACGAGGGTGTTCCAGCCCCACATCAAAGGCAGCAGCACAGCCTGCCTGGGGGACGCTGCTGTCCCCCCCAGCCAGCACCACGAGGTGGCAGGAGGGCAGCTGGGCACCTCCCCAGAGCCTCACGAGCTTCCCCAGAGCCTTCAGTTCCTCTGGAGGAACCAGCTCCAGGCTTGCCACCACCACCGCAGCCCAACTGGGGCAGGATTTGAGCTAAATCCCCTAAAACAGGGTGTGAATTCCCACAGAGCACCTCTGCCACCCCATAGCTGCTTCACAAAACCCTACAGAGCAGGGGAGACGGAGAGCTCACCCCAAAGCTGCAGGGATGAGCTTGAACCGTGACTAAGGGACACCACAGCAGCTGGAAAGCCTCAACAGCCCAAAACTGACGTGGAAAAGCCCCCGTGGCACCGTGCCAGGGGTAGCCTGTGAAATTGTGGGGGGCTGCCCCGGGTGGCAGGGCTGGGAGCGTGGCACTCCCCTGGCAGCAGCACAGCCACCCACGCCAGGGGCGTTCCGCAGCAGCTGCCACAGGGATTTGGAGATTGAAGCACCTGAACTGCCCTGTGCAGCAGGACAGCAGCTCAGGCCACCCGGGAGCTGCCAAAACACACATCCTGCAGGTGGAGAAGGGGGTGAAGCATCGCAGGGGCACAAAGAGGGGCAGGGCAGAGCACAGCGGGGAGGAGGAGCTGCTGGGGCTGACTCACAGTATCGCTCTGGGAGAGGAACCACAGCAGCTATTGTGGCCCTTCCCTTCCACACCCAGCCCACAACAGGCAAACAGGTTGTTCCACATCCCTGCCACCCTGCTGGCTCCACTGCCCCTGCAGAAGGTGAGGCAGTGGCAGCCCAGCTCTCAAGGCTTTGCTCTGGAGCTGTCAGAGACCCTGGGTTATTTCCTGACCCCCCTCTAGAACAGGATGTTTCTAATTCTAATTTCCATTTCTAATGAAGACACCAACGATGCATTAACCAAGCAGCAAACCTGCTCAGAGGGTGGGCAGGGCTGCAGCAGCCCAGGCTGCCCTGCGAGGGTGGCAGGAGGTGGTGGCCAGGGGACCCTCTCCAGCTGCAGCATCGTGGCTGCCCCAGCTCCTGGGGCCAGGACTTGGGCACATCCCTAAAAACCAGCCAGCAGTAGCACTGCTCACACAACACCTCGGTGCTGGTGCAGCCAAATTTAAGGCAAAACGCGGTGCAGGCAGAGGTGGCAGCTGGGGGCACAGTTTGAGGGTGAGCTCAGTGATCCTGAGGGCTTTTCCAACTGGAGCAATCCCTCTGAAAGCTTCTGCAGTGCATTTTTGTGCTCCCTCAGAGCAGCACAGCGTGCCCCAGGCTGGCAGACCCGGCACAGAGCAGCTGCCCAGGGCCAGGGAGCCCTTCCAGCCCACTCCGAGCTGCAGGATCCCTGTGCAGGGGGAAGGACTCGGTGTGGGGAAACAATCAGCTCGGGGAAACAATCAGCTTCTCCTGGCTGACTCACGCCTTTCCTCTCCACAGCGGTTTCACTTCTGCCAGCCCCAGAGGACTGGGATGTGCTGATAACTCATGGCTGCCCCAGCCCCGCCTGGCGCTGCCCGAGGCACTTCTCCTTTGTTTGTTAAGAGACCAGGTGAAGGGAAGAGCAGAAGCTCCCAAGGCACCCTGGTTTGGGCTCCCAGCTCCTGGTGACCGGCCCCCTCAGGCTGGGCAGCAGCCACGGAGCCCTGCAGCAGGGATACACCACTGGGATGTACCCCTGGGATGTTCTGTGCCCCCACAGCGCCCCTGGATGGGGCACTCCTGGATCTGTAGCAGGATGCAGAGCCCAGTGAGTGCCCAGTACTGGTGGCACTGGTTCATGGAACCCCCTCACACTGCCAGTCTGGCCCCTGTGTCCGACACTGGCAGCTCCAGAGGGGGAGCAAACACCTCCAGGACCTGCAGCTGGCCACAAAACCCCTCCTCAGACCTGCTGAGCTCCCCCCATGCTGAGGGGACACACAGCTCCCCCCCAGCCCCTGGACACACACAGGACCCTCCAGCCCCCCAAAAGGAGGGAGCATCCCTGCAGGACCCTCCCCAGCAGAGCCAGGGCAGCTGGGAAGCCTGGAAGCTGTCCCGTCACCAGGGAAGGTGAAACCAGACCTCACACACGCCGGGAGCCCCTGCCAGGCCACATGCTCCTCACAGATGCTCATTCACAACCCTCCTCCAGCACCTCCCAAACACAGGTTGGTGAGAAGGAGCCTCGACTCTCTCGTGGCAGGGATGGAGGCTGTGGAAAAGCCCTTCCTGAGGCAGCAGAAGGCTTTCAGAGAGCTGTTCTGTGTCCCTGCATCCTCAGCCAGCCCATCCCTGCCCTTCCCTTCCTCAGCACACAAAGCTGTCACCCACAAGGTGCCAGGTGTGTTAAACCCAAATTTAAAGGCTCCCCAAAAAGGATCCCAGCCAGGAGCTCACCTCCACAGCAGGGACACTGCCACAAATCCCAGGAAAGCATTTCCAGGAGCTCTGTGTCCCCTGGGCACGGCTCTGACTGCTCCCAGTGGGCACCAACCCACCCCAGCCACCCCCAGCCCCTGGGGCTGCACGGGCACCTTGGGATCCATGGCACACTCTGCAGGGCAGGAAGCACCTGCCCCAAACAGCCCCAATCCAATTAACAGGTTAATCCCTGCTCCCAGGGGATCTGGTGCAGCACAAAGCCTCGGGAACAGCCAGGACAGACCCTGGAGCTGCAGGGGAGAGCCTGAGCCCAGGGATGCCCCGGGATCCATGGAAATGCCCCAGGCCAGGCTGGACAGGGCTTGGAGAGGGCTGGGATCGTGCAAGGTGTCCCTGCCCATGGCAGGGTGGAGCTGGATGAGCTGTGAAATCTCATCCAAGCCGTTAAGGTGCCACATCCTGATTTTACTGTGGAAATAAAAAGCCATTATGTGCCAGGGGCTCCTTTCAGCTCAACAAAGGCTGAGTAATTACTGCCTGTGCTGCCCTTTCACAGCCCGTGTGTCACACCCAGGGCAGCTTCGCTCTTCCAAGGGACCTTCCAGAACCCAGCGCTGAGCAAAATGCACCTCCAGCCCTGCAGGTGCTTCCTGCAGGTGCTGCTCAGCCCCAGCATCCCGGGGGAAATGTCTCCAGCTCTGCTCAGCAGGAGAAGAAAACCCCTTTCCATGACTTTGCCGTGGCCTAGTTTTCAAGAAGGACAAAAGAAATGACATTTTGAGCAGCATCCAAGGGACCTAGGCAGGAGCTGGACAAGGGCCAAAGTCACCTGAGGACTCAGGCACGAGGCTGGAGCTTTTGGAAGGGGCTGCAGACCTTCCCTGGTCACACACAGGCTCCTCACTGCAGGTTATTTTCCCTAAAACCACCACAAGCACCAAGGGGGTGCAGAACGCCCGGGGAGCCTCTCTCTCTGTGGGCACAGACCCCATCCCAGCAGGGAAGTGCACCGGGCAAACTGACTCCTGCTGCTCTGGGACAATGACAGCTCCACTGGGGTTGGGAGCACCCCAAACCTCAGCTCTGTCCCCACAAAGCCCAGCAGTGGGGCTCAGACAGCCCAGCAGACACTGCCCTGGGAACTGAGCCCCAGAGCCGATTACAGCCCGGGCATTACTGCTGCTCTCACTGCCACCCTTCCCTTCCCACACAGGATTATCCTGTCTGCACACAGCTCCCCAAATCTGATGGGGAATTCAGGAAATGCCCCGTGCTGGGCAGCTGAGCCCAGAGCTGTGCTCCAGAGGGCTCCCTGCTCCAGGAGACAGAGCTGCAGCTCCCCTGCCTCCCAGGGCTGGCCTTGGGACACCTCCTGGGCCAGAAGGGACACCAGGAAAAAGCACCCAGCTCAGCAAAGAGGGCTTGGGAGGGAAAGCAATTCTCTCAGCTTTTCTCCAGGGAGGCTGGGAAGATGAGCTGCAATCCTGAGCAGAGCACCCCACGGCCCTGGCTGACACCTTGGAGCAGTTTTCCCTATAAACTCATGGGAGAAATCCCACACAGGGAGGGAGCTGAGGACACGCCACCAATGGAAGCTGCAATTAAGAGAATTCCTATTTACTGTTCTAAAATGAATTCTCCATCCCTGGAAGTGCCCCAGGTCAGGCTGGACAGGGCTTGGAGCAGCCTGGGACAGTGGGAGGTGTCCCTGCCATGGCAGGGGTGGCACTGGGTGGGCTTTGAGGCTCCTTCCAGCCCAAAGCAGCCTGGGATGCTGTGAAATAACCAGAAATAGCTTATCTCACTATCAGCACTGCCAGCCCAGGGAGTGACAAGGCAAAGGTGTTCCCAGGAAAAGCTGCAGCTCTGGCCAGCACAGCTCTGGCCAGCACAGCTCTGGCCCAGCTCTCAGCCCCTGTTTGCACATCTGCTGGCAGGGGGCTGTGTCCCAGCTGTTATCAGCTCCACGGAGCTGCAGCCAGAAATTTTATCTCCACTTTCTCCTGCCCTGTGGAGCAGCTGCCACAGCAAATCTCAGCAGGATCAGCAGAGCAGAGGCTGAGGAGCACAGGAGCCTCCCTGGGATGTGTTCACCCCAGGAGGGGAGGGAGCAGTGATTTGGGAACACTTTACACCCCAAAATACTCCAGCCACCCGTGGGGAGAAGCCACCAAGGACATCAAACCCCTGTCCTGTGGTGAGGAACCAGGGCCAGAAGTGCCCAAATGCAGGTGTGCAGTGTGAGCAAACCTGGAGCTGCTCTGCAGAGCCGGCAGGGTGAGGCTCCCCAGGCTCCTGCCCCCTGCCCAGGCTGCCCCAAAGCTCCCTGCAGGAGGGCAGGGCTGGCTCTGCTCAGCCCCAGAGAGCAGCAGCAGCTCCTCCAGGCTCTGCAGCCCTCGCAGCACACAGGGCTCTTTGTTTTATTTATTAAACAGCAGCAGATTGCTCCAGGCAGCTCTAATCCACGACTCGGTTTCCATAGACACTTACTGCTCTCCCAGCACAATTCCCAGGCAGCAGCAGGGCTGGGGGAGCGGGGTCTGACACCAAATCCAGAGCCCAGGGGCTGCTCCCCGGCTCCTGCAGCCTTTAGAGTCGTTTCAGCTCAACCTCTCTGTTAATTGCCTGCCCCGGAGAGATGCTTTAATGAGCACTTTGCCATGGCTGAGGCAGAGCTGCGGGAGGGATGGAGGGGGAGGAGGAGGAGGGGTTCACCTGGGACTGCACAGACACCAGAGCAAGGCACATCTCACTCCATGGGAGCCTTAACAAGGTGCAGCAGTCCAGGGGGAGCTGGGAGAGCCACCTCAAACCATGGGGGGAGCTGGGAGAGCCACCTCAAACCATGGGGGGAGCTGGGAGAGCCACCTCAAGCCATGGAGGGAGCTGGCAGGGCCACCTCAAACTACAGGGAGACCTTGGAGGGTCTCCTCAGACCACAGCTGTGAGGAGGGAGGACACAGGAGAATGCCTGGGCAATAGGGAGGCTGGAAAAGCAGCTGCCCTTGAAAGGATTTCCTGGGAACTAAGTGTGAGAAAGGGGAAGGAGGCAGCAGAGTCACAGCTCGTGATGTTTGCCATCGATTGGGCAAACACCAGTCCCTGGCACTGGGAGGCTCCAGCAGGGCAGAGCTGCTGCAGCAGGGCACAGACACAGCCCCAGCAGCACAGGGTGACCTCCAGCAGCACAGCCCAGCTGCCCCTGCCCCTCCAGAGGCCCCTGAGGGGCAGCTCAGCCCCAGCTCCCCAGCCAAAATCTGCTGCTTCCCCTTCTCCAAGTGAGAAGAAGCCACCACAAAGCTGCTCTCCAAAACCAGCACGAGCCAGAGCCCTGACACTGAGACCATCAGGGGTTTTCCAAACAGCATCAGCAGTAAATCCAGAGACACTGCTACCACTGAGACAGGACCAGCTCCACGCTGAGCTTGTGCTCCCCAGCAGCACCAAAGATCTGTTTCATTCCTGAGCTGGGAATCTCCAGAAATCTCCATTTAGCAGCAAACTGGGACTTACCCAATTCTTTCGATCCTTGGCTTTCACTGGCCAGCTCTCCCATCTTCACCAGAGCATCAAAGTACCCCTTTGCTGCGTAGGTCATGCCTAAAAAAGCACCAAAAAATGGAGGTTATGCTCTCCTTAAAGGCTGTTAGAACTTCTGGGGCACTGAGGAGACACTGGACACTAAAATAGGCATTACCTCAAAGGGCTCAACCCCACGGGGAGGGACCACACAACAAACAGAGGAAAAGCAGCAAAGAGAGCTGGAGCAGTGAGATTACAGGGTAATTTAGGATTTAAAAAGGTCCATGCAGGACTGTGGTGGTTTTCATTGCACTGCAAGCATCAGGCTGCTGGGAGAAATCACTGCAGAATAATTGAATATCACAGACTTTCATTATAGTTCAGCCCTGTTTGTTGACATTCCAGCTCCACACTTGACTCTAATCAGATAAGCAGGGGGTTTCCTCTAATCACAGAACACGCTGTACAGCCCCAGCTCCAGCCTTCCAGCACTGCCTCTGCTCTGCCTCCTGGGCTCTGCACTTCCTCCAGCTGCCCCCAGCTCGGGGATCCAGGGGAAGGATGACCCAAGCCAAGTTAAAAATTACAGGAAGATCCCTGGCTGCACAGCAGGGATGTGGGAAAAGCACAAAGCCAGTGATCCCAGTGGTTACCCCAAAGTGCCATGGCTGGTGGGACAGGACAGCACGGGACAAGCTCCACCTCCCAGGTAGTTGAATACCAGGAGAATATTTCAGAAGAATAAATAAAAACACAGTCCCAAGGGTCAGCAGCTCTTCCCCCTGTCAGACCCTGCCTCTGCTGCCAGGAGGGAACCAGCAGGGAAAAACAGCCCCAAACCATGAACCCCACTCTGCTGGGATCCCCTGGAATTTCGGGAAAGCTGCTGCCTGTGAAGAGGGTGCCCTGTGCCCCTGGAATTTCTGGAAGGTGCTGTCTGTGAGGAGGGTGCCCTGTGCCCCTGGAATTTCGGGAAAGCTGCTGCCTGTGAAGAGGGTGCCCTGTGCCCCTTCCCTGGGGATCAGAGGTCACAGCCCTGAGCAGTGGGGCTGGACGGGCACCTCCCCGTCACGGTGGGTGAGCCATTAAATCCCAGCTCAAACCAGTGCCCACAGCTGGGTGAGCCATTAAATCCCAGCTCAAACCAGTGCCCGGCACCCGGGAACAGGGGGAAGGGCTTAAAAATCCTCCTGGGAACAGCCAGGAGCCTCACTTGGTTTGTGGGAAAGGAAAGGTGCTGCAGGCAGGGAGCAGGAGCAGGATCCTCCCCAAAAGTCGGGTCCCAAACACCAAAGGGATTCTCCCCCCTGGCTGAAGGTGATGACAGACTCTGCCCCACGGGCATTTTCGCTGGGATTATTCAAAAATGAAATCCAGAAGACACGTGCAGCTCTGAAGGGAGCAGAGCCCTCCCTGGAAAAACACAGCTCTGGGTTGAGCAAAGCTTAAACCTCCCTAAAACCCAGCTGAGGAGGGCCCAGGCAGTGCACAAAGCCAGTTTAAGTCAAAATAGCCCATTTTGGGCTTTAATCAATTCCTAGCTTCCTTTTGATCACTTAAATCTACACCTCCCTAATGGCTCCCGATAGGACCCTGCATTCCCAATCAAGAGCTGCCATCAAGACTTTCAGGCTTTTCCCTTTTCTTCATTCTTCTGGGCAATTTAAACATTTCAATAGCACCTCTTTAAACAGAGCTGAAAACCTCAATTCTCAGTACTTTAAACAAACATTTAAAGTTGAACTGTTTGCAGATGTGTTTTGTTATCCTGCTGCCTCCCAGCATTTTCTCCCTGGAATCCCTCCTGCATCCACGGCCTTGCAGATCACCACCCTCCCAGTTCCTTCCCTGTGGGAACAAGAAACTTTCCAACAGAAACCCAAAGATTTTCAATCAAAAACCAGAGGTTTTGCAGCTTTCTCCCTCCCCAGCCTGGCAGCCCCAGTGTCACTTACTTGCTAAGGCTTTTTCATAGGTCTTCCCCATAGAAATGAAATTCCTGAGGCTGGGATTGAACTGCTCCATGATGGTCTAAAGGGAAGAGAACACGGTTGGGATTAGCAGGGATGATGGGGAGCGGAGTGAACAGCTCCGTGCTCAGCTCTGTCCTGATAAAACACAAAACGAGAGCAAAAAAGTCCTCCCAGCTCCCTGAAGAGGCCCCAGGACCCTCCCTCACCCTGCAGCTCCGTTGAGGAAGACCACGCTGGGTCTGAGCACACGAGGGACAAGAACGAGGGGGCTCTGCAGTGCCCCAGCACCAGATGCTTCCCGGGAGAGGAAAGTGAATACAGAGAATTATCAGATATAGAAAAATAACCGTAATAGCAACTGTAGGGGCTGTTCGGGGCAGCACCAGCCCTCAGAGCAAGCAGGGAGGTGACCCAAGCCCTGGGGCTGGTGGCAGGTGATGTTCCTCTCCCAGGATGGCCACGGAGAGCAGCAGCCCAGCCCACCAGGGACAGCAGGAAGGGCTGAAGAGCAGGATCCCAAATGGGCAGGCAGGATGAGGCAGAGCCCCCAGCACCCCCTGAGCTGTGCCAGGAATGCCACCGGGGTCCCTCGGGGGCACTGCCCACCTGCCCAGGGTGGGGCGAGCGCTGCCTGAGCTTCCCCGCCTCGCCCCAAGGCCCTCAGCTCGGATGGGGGAAGGAATAATCGGATCAGGAGGAGAAGAAGGGCTCTTTGTGTGCTCTGTGCAGCCGCAGCCCTCACCCCAGCCCATTCCCAGGGCACAGCCCCATTCCTAGGGACACAGCCCCATTGCCAGGGGCACAGCCCCCATTGCCAGGGACACAGCCCCCTGTCCCTCCCGGGCATCCTCTGCACCAGTCCCAGCCCCAGAGCTGGTCCCAGTGCCCTGCCCCACCTTGGGGACACCAAGGTGCCCCCAGGAAATGGATCTGTGGGTCTGAATGCCCCTGAGGGGGGGGATGCACCACGGGCATTCCTGCTGGGAACGGGGGCTCTGCACCCCCAGGCTGCTGGCAGAGCCCCAGCCCGGGCAGGGAGGGAAGACAGGCAGACACTTACGGGAATAAGCTGATTAAGCATCTGTCACCTCATCTGAGGCTGCCCGAACACTATAAAGCTCATTTTCTGCCTGAGGCATTTTTATCCCAGTTCCTGCTGCTCGGTCCTCGAGTCTGACAGCTGAATTTTCTCCCCACGTGTGCAGGGCTCAGCCAGAGCCCTCCTGGCTCCAGCCAGCCCTTTTAGGGTTCCTCTGGGCAGGACCCTGTGTGGGGAGGGGTGGCATCACCCCAGGGTTGCTGTTTCAGGAGGAATCTGCTCATCCTCCCAGGCTGAGGATGGCTGCAATGTCCCCAAAGCCTGTCCCCAGCAGCCCCCAGGTCCTCACAGCAGCAGCCACAACTGCAAAGGGCAGAAGATTGACGAGGCTAATGAGGAGCTGCCCCGCTAATTAAGGCTGCAGGCCAACACCAGGGCCCCTGGAAGCTGTTTTGGGGCAGCTCAGAGCAGTTTGGTGGATGTGCTCAGCGTGAAAGGAGAAAATGAACCTGTAGCAACAAGCCAGGTGTTCTCCAGCGTGTAGGAGACAATTGCACAGCAGTTAATTACCACTGCCAGGATTGCTCCATCCTGCCCACATCAGGTTTAACTCCAGCCCAAAACCCACCTGGGCTATCCCACAAAGCAGCAGAGGCTGGCATCACTGCCCAGGGTGGGGACAGGGACGATTCCCCTGGCCACAGCAGGGACAGGGACACAGCCCCACGCTCAGGCTCAGCCCGAGCACTGAGGCTGAGCAATAGTTAAGCAGCAGAAACGTTGGCAGAATTTCTGCAGGGAGGAGATTTTTGGGCGGTTTGCAGGTTCAGAGCAGTGTTTGTGTACGAGGACGTGCACGGGGATATGTAAATAGTGTGATTTTCTCAGCAGTGCCCGTGTAAACACATCGTCCTGAGCATGAAACCCGGGGAATTAAAGATGGAACAGGATCCCCAGACAAAGCACCGTCCAAAATTCAGCACATCTTGCCCAAAGCAGAGGGAATCAAAGCACAACCCTGCCCTGGCACTGCTCAGGGCAGGTCCTGCTCCCCACTGATCCACAAGAGATGTTTTAAAGCAACAAATAAAGAGATAAAAGCCCCCAAAGGGGCTCGTGGAGCGGCTGAAGGAGCGGGAAGGTGACTCTGTGCTGGCCAAATAAAATTCACCAACCCCCAGGAGGAAGTTTGCTGAAAGTGAATGTTTTTAAAACATTGTCTGGAGCCTCCAACAAAAACAGCCTGGCAGGATGAGAGCGGGGAAAAGGGCTCCTCACTGCAGAGATAAAAATAGCCTTTTCCAAGCCCTCCTCTCACTCCCAGGGTGGGAAGGGAAGGTGACTCCAGAGCCTTCACACCCCCCTCCAGGTGAGAGCCCGAGACCTGCCAAGGAGAAACAGTGGGAAATTAACAGATTTGTGCCGTGGAATGGCTCAGCAGCATCACCCCTCACACCAGGGATGTGCTGGAGCTGCTCCCTGGCAACACAGGGCTCATCCCCTCCCTGGGGCACCAGGGGCTCTGGCAGGGCTGTCCCCCACAGGAGAGGTGAATCCAGGCCTGCAGGACACCAACTGCAAGGCAAATACTCAGTAGCACTGTGGCAGTGAAAGCAAATCCCATTCTCCCCAGATTTTGCCCCCTCAGCAGCACCCACAAGTTGTTTGCCTTCCATGGGCTGCCTGGGCAGAGTTCAGAAAAACACAGCCACAAAACCTGGCAGCCGAGGGTTGAAAGGGCTTTGCTTTGTTCCACTGAGCTGAATTCCCTGGGTAATACCACTCAGCTCTCCGGGATTGGCACGGCTTTATTCAGCTGCCAAAAATGAAACTAATGCAAAGCACAAGGTCTCCAGGACACGGCCCTGCTCCGTGCTGGGGGAAGAGGCAACAGGAACAAGGTCCCTTTTCTGCCCTCTGAGCACACTCCAGTACAGCCAGGATGCTCCAAGCCCGTAAATTAGCCCTTAAGGAAAAGTTTAGAATCATGGGGAAGAATAAAACATCCCGAGCTGGAAGGAGCCCGCAAGGATCACGGAATTCCAGCTCCTCAATCCCAAGTTTAAGTCCTGCTCAAGCTGGAAGTGGCTCGGGCTTCTCCTGCTCAACAGCTGAAGGGCAGCATTCCCAACACATCCCTGGAAGGGCTCCAAACCCACATGGATGTGGCACCTGGGGACGTGGCTCAGTGGCCTCGGCAGAGCTGTGGGAATGGTTGGATCTGATGGACTCAGAGGGCTTTTCCAGCCTTTTTACGGATTTTCTGTCTCCCTGCAGGACTGACCCTGCACAGGGCCCAGCCTGGATTCCCTGGGTGACCAGGACGAGCAGGGGACAGCACCAGGGGACTCTCCACTGCCACACTGCAGAAGCAGCTCAGCCCTAAGGAAGTTTTGTGTCTAAATGGGTCAGCCCTGCTCCAGGAGCACTTTCATCATTTTGCTATCAATATTTAATGCCCAGCAAAGCCCAGTGCTGCCTCCTCCATCACAGTTTGTCCTGCCTGGCACCATCAGGAGCGGCCCTGGGGGTTTCAAGAGCCAAGTTTCTGTCAAGAAGGAGCCCAGGGAAAATCAGGAAAAAAAGTCAGGGAAAAAAAAACAATCCCCATCTAAAGGCATTTAGTTTCTCCTGGTTGTCATGCTAGAGGATGAGGGGACCCAAGTCTCAGGGCAAGAGCTCTGAACATCTTTGTGTTGGGGTCTGGGCTGGAGGAGAGCTGGGATGAGGATCCACACAGGGCACAGAGCCCCCAGCACTCTGGGAACACCCCTGGCACCCACCCGGGGCCAGCCCTGCACGGCTGGGCCATCCTCACCTCCTCGGGGCTGGGATCTCCCCCGGGGAGCCAGGAGGGTCCCCACAGAGGTGGCACTGAGGGCTGAGCCCCAGGCTGTGGCCAGAGGAGCTGTCTGCCCTGTGCCCTGCCCTGCAACACGAGCAGCAGCACTGAAACCTTAACCAGGGCCAGGCTCAGCACAGCAGGCACCGAGGGCAGGGCAGCGCCCGGGACACCCCGGCCAGGCTGGAACCTCAGAGCCCACCTGCCTGCAGGTGTCCCCTCTCCAGGGAGGCCAGCAGGGCTCCCCCAGCCCGGGATGGATGGAGGGGTGGATGGAGCAGCATTCCCAGCTCAGAGCCCTGGCAGTGCCAGAGCCCAGCTCACCACCGAGCCCTGGCGTGCTCCCCACAGTTCTCCCACGGCTGGGCTGCAGGAAGCCTCAAGCAATGGAGCACAGGGCATGGAATTTGGGCTGCCACAGGCTGGCTCCTTCCTCCTGTGCCACACTCATCATCCCTCACTCCAAACCAGCCACAGTTTCCCTCCTGAACGCCTTGAGGAAGAACCGCTCCCATCCCTCAGGACGTGAGGAGGAGAGGCTGTGATGCCACAGTAACATCGATTACAGCTGATGGGGAGCTAAGGACCCTCAGGAATTCTGTCCACCTTTCTGCAGCTTCGAATTGTTAGGCAAACACCTCTTCAAAGGCAGAGCCACTCGCACACCATTGCAAACCCATCTTCCGCACGGAAAAACGCCTCTAAAATGAAATGGAGGTTGGGCTGCAAACGGCAATAATCTCATCTGGCAGGAGGAGACAGATCTGTCTTCGGGGGAAGGAAGATTTGCCAGTCCCTGCTTTCTGCAAAAAGACAATCCCGAGCAGGGGATGAGCGGGGAGGGAGCAGAGGGAGCTGCCCATGGCCGGGGGCTCCGGCAGAGCCAGCCCGGCAGCTGTGCCGCTACTCCGGGGTCCTGGCAGTGAATCAGCACCGCCAAAGGTGGGCTCACGTTGGCGGAAGGTGCCAGCAGCCTCCGTCTCCCTCTGTAATTACTCCCCGTGTGTAGGCAGCTGCCTGTAGTGGCAGCATCGGCTCGGGGGCGGCTGACAGCTCCTCCACCAGCTCATTAGCACAGTCACTCCGAGGGTGAGCGCTGCTTCTGCAAAACCATGACAATGGGCTTCCCGAGCAGCGCCTCGGGAGAGCCTGCGGGAGCCTGCCATGGGCAGCGCCTGCTCCTGCCAGACCGCCGGGACAGGGCCAGGGGGCACGGCGGGGGCCGGGCACAGCGGCATGGGCAGGGGGCACGGCGGGGGCCGGGCACCCCGGCATGGGCAGGGGGCACCCAGCCTGGGCCTCGGTAGCATCGCCCCTCTCCTGGGGGGTGTCTCCTTCTGCCCATGGCTCCTGCACAGGCCAAAAAACCACCTGGGTAATGGGGATTGAAGCACTGGCACTGGTTTTGGAGTCAGACTCCAAAGGTTAAGGAGGCCCAGAAAAGCTCAGTGCTGAGCCCCCAGCTGGGCTCAGGGGTGGCTGAAGTCCTCAAAGGAACAGGGACACGCCAGGTTCTCGCAGGCACCACATGGCACACCTCTCCAGCACTGATGGCTTCAGAGCAGCCTCTGCTCACCACAGGGACACAACCAGAGCCAGGACCACCCTCCTCCTGCTCCCAGCATCCAGACACTGATTTTGGGTGAACCCACGAGCTCTTCACCAGCTCCTTCTCCTCACTGCCTGCACTTGGCTGCTCCCACCGGCACCCCAAGGAGCTGAGGTGTTCTCTAGCTCATGGAGACCTGCGGGCAGCCCCAAGCCCTGGCCGCTGGCACCGCGGGCAGCGATGGCTCTGCTCTGGCTGGGCCGGAGCAGCCGGGCCAGCAGTCAGCCCCGGTTCCCCGGGGCCGGAGCAGCCGGGCCAGCAGTCAGCCCCGGTTCCCCGGGCTGGGCCCCGCACGTGTGGGGACAGCGCGGCCTGCCCTGCGCTGCCCAAGGGCCGGGCCCGGGGTGACGGTGACCTGCTCCCCAAACCTGTCATTAGCCCCGTGCTTCGAGGACTACACACCTCAAACAACAACTGAGTCACGGCTGGGGCTGCTCCCAGCCCCTGTTTGCCCAGGCAGCGCCGGGCCCGGCTGTGCCAGTGCACGATCGCTGGAGCAGCCGGGGTGCCAGCTCTGCCCCGAACCAAGGACAGCCTGCACCGGGGCATGTCCGGGCAGGGTGGGAGGGAGCCCCGGGCACCGCAGCAAAATGTCACCAAGATTCAGAGCGACCACGATTTCGGGTGCCACAGCTCTGCCTGAACAGCTGGTACACCCCAGAACCTCCAAAACCAAGACTTCACAACTTCACTGCCTCGGTACTTTTTGTACTACATTCTTCTATTTTTTTTTTCTCCCTGCTCTGTGCTCCCAGGTAACTCAATCCAAGCCCTTAAATCACAGGAAATCGTGCAAGCTTCCCAGTTTAACAAACGACATCCTGCGTTACACGTTAGGCTACAGCAGTTTTCTTACTCTTGGTCTCAAGACCCAGCAGAGCAGAAACCGCTTCCTTCGGGGCGAAGGCAAACCACATAAATTGTTGCATTTTCCCAGGACACCGGGAGCAAAGCAGAAGGGAAAAACGGAGAATTGCCGAACTCCAGGGGATGGGGAAGGCTCTGAGAGCTCTGGCTTGTGGCAGAGCGCGGGGCTAGCCCGCTGCGGGGTGATGCGGGGACAGCGCTGCCCACCCGGGCTGGGACAGCCCCACGCGGTCCCGGTGCCCGCGGCTGCCCGGGCAAGGCTGGGGGTGCCCCGGCAAGGCTCGGGGTGCCCCGGCGGCCGCTGCCGGCCCGGCCGAGCGGCTCCGGGCACATCCCAGGGCCGGCCCCGGCGGCGCCTCCGCGTCCGCTCTGCCCCCGCGCGTCCCGGGGAGGGGAAAGGCGATAACGCAAATAATTGAAATAACTCAAACATCAGCCAAAGGGCCGGACGCGGCGCCGGGCACCTGTTGCGGACCCACCTTGTAGACATTCTCGGTGAGGCGGTGCACCTCCTCGGAGCGGGCCATGCCGGGCGGGCCGGGCAGCACCATGGGCGGCGGCGCGGGGTGCGGGGCGAGCGGCGGGCGGAGCCGGGCGCGGAGCGGGAGAGCGCGGAGCGCCGGCCGCCCTGCCTTTTATCAGCTCCCGGCGGCCGTGCCCGCCCCGAACCGCCCCGGCCAGCCCCGCGGGGAGGAGCCGGGCCGGGCCGGGCTGTGCCACGGCCGCGCGGGGCTGGGAGTAAACGAGAGGAGTACGAGCATCGCGGGGGAGGGAGGGATGCACTGCGGTGTGCTCCCTGTGCGGGATCCCGTGCCCATTCCCCGTGCCCATTCCCCATTCCCCATCCTCATTCCCCGTGCCCATTTCCCATCCTCATTCTCTGTGCCCATTCCCCATCCTCATTCCCCGTGCCCATTCCCCATCCTCATTCCCCGTGCCCATTCCCCATTCCCATTCCCCGTCCCTATTCCCATTCCCCATCCCCATTCCCCATTCCCATCCCCAATCCCCATTCCCATGCCCAATCCCCATTCCCCGTCCCCATTCCCAATCCCCATTCCCATGCCTATTCCCCATTCCCTATTCCCCATTCCCTATTCCCTATTCCCTATTCCCTATTCCCTATTCCCTATTCCCTATTCCCATGCCTGTTTCCCATTCCCATGTTCCCCATTCCCCATTCCCCATTCCCCATTCCCTATTCCCTATTCCCTATTCCCATCCCCATGCCTGTTTCCCATTTCCATCCCCATGCCCCATGCCCATTCCCCATTCCTCATTCCCCATGCCCATTCCCCATGCCACGCCCCATTCCACGGCCCATTCCCACTCCATGCCCCTTCTCCCCCCCATTTCCCATCCCACACCCCATAACCTACCCTACACTCCTGCCGTACTTCACCCCATAGCCCACAGCCCCACGCCATCCCCTGTGTTACTCCGCCCCGTGGCTCTCGCTGTGCCCCACATCCCTGGGCTGTCCCACCCTCCAGCCCCTGCTGGACCCCCTCTCTGGGGCTGTGCTCCATCCCCAGCTGTGCCCTGGGGAGCGGATGGGTGAGGAGCAGTCGGAGAAGGAAGAGCTGCCCCTGGTTTGTGGGGTGTTGGGAAGGAGGGTGCACATTGTCCAGGGAGGCCGGGACAGCAGAGATGGGATGAGCCATCACCACAACTATGGCTCAGGATGCTCAGCCAAGGGAGACCAGCCCTTGCCTGCCACCTCGCTGTCCCCAGGCTGTCCTGGCCAGCCAGGATTCCCTTGGGAGGCTCCTGCCAGAGCTCCCTCAGGTCCCTGTGGGATGCCCAAGCCATGCATCCCTGTCCCTGCCGTGCCTCGGGCCAGTGACAGCGGATCTTGTCCAGCTGCTGGGGGACACGAGGAGCAGGCCATGCCCTGGAGCCAGTGTCCCCATGCCTGTGCTCTGGAGCCAGTGTCCCCATGCCCGTGCCCTGCCCCGCTGTCCTCCCTGGGCACGGCCGCTCTCTCAGGGTCAGCTGTGGTTAAGCTGAGCCTCAGGGCCAGGCCGTGCCCATGGGCCGAGCCTTCCTCTCCCTCCTCTCTGCTGTGAGAAGCAGTGAAGCAGTTAAACAGCTGAGCGTGTTATTTCCCCTCACATCCATCAATTCCGAGAACGAGGAGCCCGGAGCCGGGTCGATACCTCCCTTTGCTGCTCCCCTTCCCGCTCTCCCTCCTGGCCCTGGCAAGGCCCAGCAGGGCACCGACAGCAGCTGCTCCCTCCGGCTGCCTTTGGGTCCCATTTTGGCTTCTGCCTCAGAGGTTCCACACTCCAGAGCACAGCGAAGAATTTACAGCCTCTGAGAAGGATTGTTCTCATGTTTCTGGAGTGACCAGTTAACCCTTTCCCACTGGGGCTGAGGAAAGGGAGCAGCTGCCCTGGGAGATGTCCCCAGGGGAATGCCTGGCTGCTGGGACACCACGGTGCCACTTTGCCTCTCCATCCCACGTGGCCAGACACAGTCAGCTCCCTCAGCCAGACGCCAGCACCTCGCTGGCTTTCCAGCGCTGGTGAAGGATTCAGGATCAAGCAGCCAGGAGTAGAGTGCCTCTCTCTGCATCTCCATCACCTTATTTTTAGTTACGTTATGTAAGTTCTTCGCTACGTCATGGATGTGGGGGGTTCTTGCATCTAATTCCAGTGTGACAGCCCAGCAATTCAAACAAGCTGTTCCTCTGGTGAGGAAGATAAAAGGATTTGTAATTTCTGATAATAAAAGAGGCCTTCTGGGACGGCCCTCAGAGAATCTCTTCCATCTAGGCCTGCTCGCAGACAGCCGCTCCACTTTCTTCCCATGCTCTGCTTCTCCTTATCCCCTGGAATCTGAGTGCTGAAAACCTTTCTCCCTCTTATCTCCCGGCTCCCGGAGCGGCTCCATGCCTGGAAGCAGCCAGGGAGTTCATTTCCCCACACCCAGAGCCACATGGAGCAAATCCTCCTTGTCCCTGGCTCCCGGCTGGCAGCCGTGGCCGGGGCTGCCCGCGCTGCCCACGGCCGGGAGCGGTGCCCGGGCCTGCGGCAGCGCTGCCGCCCGCAGCCTCCCGCAGCACCCTGGGAATTCTCAGCAGGAAAAACCTGCCTCTGCCTCGTGCCGGAGCGTTTGCTTTGATTGCCTTTTATTTATTTATTTTTTTTCTCCCCGTTGCTGCTCGCTGCCTTTTTGTCAGGGTGATTCACTCCCCGGGGCTCGGCGGCAGCTGGAGCGTGCCCAGGGTAACCATGGTGCCAGAGTCCCGTGGGTTACCTGAATCCCCACGGTGCTTCTCCATGTGCCCATGCGAAGGCGGGAGCATCCACGGCAGGGCCGTGGGTGCAGCGTGGGGAAGCACCACGCCAGACTGGGAACAGCAGTGGGATGAGCAGGCAGCAGCCCCATCCCCACGATCCCTCCCCGGGGTGACGGCACCGCGGCACACGCGGCACCGGCCACCTCCAGCCCCGGGTGGAGCGAAGTTGCTGTGGCAACAATAACTTATGTAATCCACCCCGCTCGGCTGCAGGTGTGGGGAGGAAATTGTGCTATTTTCGAGGTTTCATTAGGTTCCTTCTTAATTACCAGCGCGGCATCGCGCCAGCGCTCCCGGCCGGGTCACGCGCCCGGCACAGGGTGGGGATGGAGCAGGGATGGCCGGGACAGTGGCAGCTGTGACAGTGACAACCAGGGCAGTGACAACTGATGGCAGTGACAACCAGAGCAGTGATGGCCAGGGCAGTGACAACCAGGGCAGTGACAACTGGGGCAGTGATGGCCAGGACAGTGACAACTGGAACAGTGACAACCAAAGCAGTGACAGCCAGGGCAGTGATGGCCAGGGCAGTGACAACTGGGGCAGTGATGGCCAGGGTAGTGACAACCAATGGCAGTGACAACCAAAGCAGTGACAGCCAGGGCAGTGATGGCCAGGGTAGTGACAACCGATGGCCGTGACAGCCAGGGCAGTGACAACTGGGGCAGTGACAACCAGGGCAGTGACAGCCAGGGCAGTGACAACCGACTGATGGCAGTGACAACCGATGGCAGTGACAGCCAGGGCAGTGACAACCGATGGCCATGACAGCCAGGGCAGTGACAGCCAGGGCAGTGATGGCCATGACAGTGACAACCGATGGCAGTGACAGCCAGAGCAGTGACAGCCAGGGCAGTGACGACCCGGGCAGTGACAGCCAGGGCAGTGATGGCCATGACAGTGACAACCGATGGCAGTGACAGCCAGGGCAGTGACAACCCGGGCAGTGATGGCCAGGGCAGTGACAACCAGGGCATGCTGGCCAGGGCAGCAGTGGCTGGAGCAGTGATGTCCGAGGGCAGTGGCAGCAGCTGCACCAAGGGACAGTTCCCTCCATGTTCCCAGCTTGGGGACAGTCTCCCTGCTCCCAAAATGCCACCCTGGTGGCTGCCATGGGACACGGGACACGGGAGGGAGGTGCCGCAGGGCAGCATGACTGCCCAGGGAGGGGAGTGTGGCACTGCGGGGTCACCAAGAGCTGCCACATCCTCAGTGACTCGGGATGCCTCCGGTGACATGGAGAGAGGAAAATAAAGGTGGGTGGGAATCCCTGGGGCATTTGAGTGGGATGTGGCAGTGGCCAGCACAGAGAGGAGGAAGCAGAGGGACCATCATGGCACCAGTGCTGGTTTTTGTCACAGCCCCTGAGAAAATGCCCAGATTTTCCCAAGGAAGATCGAGCCCCAGCTGCTCCAGGTGGCCCCTGGGTTCTCTGGTACTGCCAGGGCAGGAGAGACCAGGCAGGGAACGGGACCAGGCTGAAGAAGTCACCTCCATCTCCTCTCCCACTCAGTCCCCTGGCTCTGTGGCAGCCCCTGGCTCTGTGCTCGTCCTTTTCAGAGTGTGCTGAGCCCACCCAGCCCCGGGGGCCCCGCACAGCCCGAGCGGGGCAGGTGTGTACCCGAGTGCCACCGTGCTAATGAGATTCCCAGGAGCTGCCTGTCCCAAGGTCCTGGGCAGATGGCTTCTCCATCAGGGCCCTGACATCACTGCCAGCCCTCCCTGCGCTGTGTCAGGAAGTTTTTCTTTCTCAAATAATCTAAACGTGATTTTTCTGACATCTGGGGGTCACTGGGGAATCGGCCAGGTGGGTTTGAGCCAAACCAACCCCCCACAAGCACAGGATGTGTTTTTTCTGAACACCTCACTCAGTTCTGTCCCCTGCCCTCCTCGGGGGCCCCTCCTCAACCCCAGGCTGTCCCCCACTTCCTTTGGAGCACCTCATTAAGGAGCTGGGCCAGCAAACCCCCACAGTACCCAGGTCTTGGAGCATCCTCCCAAAACTCAGCCTCCCCTGTGCAGGGCAGCCTTTGCTCACCAGGACACCAGCAGGGGCCTCGAGCTGACAGTGAGGAGGTTTAGGTTAAATATTGGGGATAAATTCCTCCCTGTGAGGGTGGGGAGGCCTGGCACTGGTTTCCCAGAGAAGCTGTGGCTGCCCCATCCCTGGAAGTGTTCCAGGCCAGGCTGGACAGGGCTTGGAGCACCTTGGTCTAGCAGAATGTCCCATGAGCTTTAAGGTCCCTTCCAGCTCTCTGGGTTTGCAAAACCAGGTGTCTGCTAAGAAGGGCAGGAGCCTCC